TAAAATAAAACAAAAAAATGTTTTTAGTTTTTTCAAATAGCTATACAAATGACAATATGATGTGCTTCAAAAATTGAAGGTACCAGTCCATTCACATCTCTGCAGATATCTCACCAAAGTGCTTTTTTTTATCTAAGTGCCCTGTTAGCAAAATGCTAACTTGCTTCCCTCATCTCACGGGGGCTGAGAAGACCTGGGCTTATAAAATGAAATGGGATCCTTTTTAAGAAAATTTTTTTAAATGTTTATTTATTTTTTGAGAGAGAGAGACAGACAGCAATCAGGGGAGGGGCAGAGAGAGAGGCAGACCCAGAATCCAAAGCAGGCTCCAGGCTCCAAGCTGACAACACAGAGCCCAACTGTGGGGCTCAAACTCATGAGCTGTGAGATCATGACCTGAGCCGAAGTCGGACATTTAACTGACCGAGCCTCCTAGGCGCCCCAAAATGGGCTTCTTTTTTGAAAGCCAGGTTGGGAAAGAACTGGGTCTGATCCTTCTCAGGCTACTAGGGCTTTTCATGGCCACACGGATGTTCTGTTGAAGGTGGTTCTTTAGAACTCCAAGAAGCTCGTAGCCTCAACAACGAGCTTGCTTGTTCAGCCATCTGCATAGGACTTGGGGGCCCTGCCTCAGGACTTCAGGTTATTACTTTTCAGGTGACATTTATATGTTCAGTCATTGCTATTCAAGGCACAACCTTTGTGCCAGGTTAGATGGATGCACAGAACTTTCCAGCTTATGATATAACCAAACCAACCTTCTACTCGTGAACCCTGGAGCCATTGTGAACATCCAGAGCCATCATAGTGGGCTCCAGCTTTCCTCAAGCTACTTTTATTTCCAGGAAACAGTATTCCATGCTTTATCCATACAGGAAGTTGACACCTCTCTGGTTGGGGCAAGTCTGTCCTAATCCGGTGGGTCTCCCCACTTCCATACTTCAAAAAAAGTCATCAACACCTTGGCTGTTTGCTCCCAGGGGATTCTTCTCTCCCTATGTGGATTGTTTTATTTGGGGACAGAGTCTCCAAGAAAAGAAGCAGCTTTGATGGAGTCACAGAAGGTCATGTCCTACCTCTCTAACTTGGCAATGAGTGTTCCCCGGCCCTACCAGCCATAAAACACTTAGACGATATGGGACTTTGCTCTGGTCATTCTCTAGAGAAACAGTGAACACCTGCTTCAAGGTGGTTTTCTTTTCTGCCTATTCTTTGAAACTGGTAGAAAAAAAAATAATAACGTTTGGCTTCAAGGTAACCTTCTGTCCTTCCTGTTCCTGGAAATAGCCAGAAAATCACCTGGCATAAAGATCATCATCATTATCATCTTTATCTTACTAGGGAGTCTGGCTGGGTTTGGGGAATTTTATAGTTAAACATACCCCTTTATTTCTCATCTCGTCTGAGTCTTAGATTCACTATGGAAATCAGGCAGGGCATGATTCTTGCCTTATTTGCACTCCGATTTCATGGCCCGCCCAAGGCCAATGGTGAGAAAATGGTGGGGCAAGTTTAGAAAGCAAGTCTGCCTTACTGCGGATGTCCTGTTCTTTAGAACGGGATAAGAAAGCTGAGGTCTTGACTTTGAGTCGCTCTTACTCCAACTGTTAGAGGATTCTCATGTGTGAATATGGCCTGGGTTTGAAGACATTCGCTGGTAGCTTCTCAGCATCTTCATTTGCCAACAGCCCAAGCCTCCCCTGGCTGTCCTCAGGCCTGGCGGGTTGGAAGAGAATCTCCCGGAGTTTTGACCATTTAGCACACACTTAGTTCTCTGGGCGGCTCTGCTGTGCAGGCAGAACCATGGCCATATTCTTGGAATTGGGATGGGGTTCCTTGCACAAGTAAATGTACCACCAGAGGGCTGCAGGCCTGGATTCCGGGGCACCGGGTACACATGCGATGAACAGCACCTACACTCTGTAATCTGCAGTCACGGAGGCCCTGGGGTGGGCGGGGGCGCCGGGCAGAGGGAAGGTCATCATTCGAGCTATAGACGTTTGGAGACACTGCCGAAATGCAGATTGTTGATATCACTCATTTTTGTGGGGGAAAAACCCCATGAGAACCTGAAAGTCTTTTTACTCTGGCCTTCTGGCCTGAAACTCCAGATTGAGCTGTTTGAAACTCATCCCTTAAACAGTGGGCGCCATTAAGGAGTTCCTCTGCCTCTGCGCTATTCTCTTTTCCCTGCTCTTCTCCTCTCCTTTTCCTTTCCATTCCTTTTTCTTCCTCCTCCTACCTTCTTTCCTCTGCCTATTTCCACTTCCTTATTTCCTTTTTTTTTTTTTTTTTTTAAGCACACTCCACGCTCAGTGCAGAGAGCCTGACATGGGACTTGAACTCACGACCCTGAGATCAAGACCTGAGCTGAGATCAAGAGACGGACACTCAATCTTCTGAGCCACCCAGGCATCTACCTTGTTTCCTCTTGAAGTTCTGACTGTCCTTTCAGATCCTTATGCATGGTACCGACCCTGCCACACACAACAGCAGACAGATATTTGGGGAGACGCTAATCTCCGCCTTCTCACTGGGTCACTTGAGTAGAATCTGCTCACCCGACAAGTAAAAACATTCTAAAGAGAGATGTGGCTCTTTACTCCCCAGCCAGGAAAGGGCAGCCTCCGAAGTATCCCAGGGTCTTTGAGGGTAGAGAGAACACACATTTTCTTCATCTCTGGGCATCCAGTGCCTGGGATCTCTGGGTGCGTAGAAGGAGGGGGAGCTGGAACAAGAACCTTCCGTCTGCCCATGGGGGCTGCATAAAATAAGCTGGAGAGCCAGTCCTAGAAATTCTAGGAAGAGGCCTTGTGGAGGAGAAGAAAGTAGCATTTCCTTCAGAGTGCAGGAGGAGGGAGCCAAGATGATGGGTAAGGTGTCCAAGTGTGGGTTGTCCTTACTGAGGGGAGGAGGCAAGCACCGTGTCAGTGGTGCCCACAATCCCAAACGGTGTCCGTGATTGACGAGCCTTCCCTTGCAAGGAGACACCTGTTGATGTCCTACTTGATAGTAACGAGAAGATGACACAGGAAGTCCCATCAGGCGTAAGAAATGCCTCATCCTGGGCTTAATGGGGCCGTTTGGGATTTGGTGATCTCTAGATACCATGGAGTCTTGTGGTCTAGATTGACAGTCTGCTCAAAAATCAGAGAAGTTTAATTTCTCATAGAAATGCGACCAGTGGAATTGTCTTTGACAGAAAGCGCCCAGACCTTTCTCTGAGCACAAAGCGTCATCTTACTGCGTATTGCACACCCAGTATGTGCCTGGTCTTAGGATCTTGATTTATTTTATGCTCTTTATGTCTATATGGATCCCAGGTCAGGGTGGATATGCCCGTTTTTCACATGGAAAGCTGCTGTTACAAGGGGTGATGTCACCTGCCCAAGAAGGCTGGGTGATTGAACTGTTTTGCTGGCTGTCCCTCCTGGTACTGGACGCCTCAGTGCTGCTCTGACCTTCAGAGTCTTTACCCCATCCATCCTCTGCCGTGCTGTCGGGCCGGCTGATAGATCAACTAGGCCTTGACAGTGATAGAGAAAGGGCTGGTGTAGCAAATAAAAACAGAAAGGCATTTGCACACAAGGATCACTTCTATTTAAAGGCCGCATCAATTTGAATCCAACGGGTCTAAATAGGGCTGCATTAGCCCAGTAATTTTATTTCCTTCATGACGAAGTGCAAATTAGAGCAGGCACATCTGAGCAGTCTTGGTAATGACCTGGGATTTTACGTGTTTTTGTTCCTTCCTCTGAAGCTACAAGACAGGTCTTGGTTTGTGTGTCACTGTGCCCTGGTGGGGGTGGGCAGTGACCCTTTGTCCCTGTTTCCAGGGGACTCTTCAGGCCATCTGAGGACAATGCACAAGGCAGTTGAGCTGTTTTTCTCTGCTGGTTGCACTGATTTTTCTTCTTATCTTCTGGGCTCTCTTTGCAAACATGCTATTTATTTTTTTCTGTAGTGATTTATAGAGGACCTGCCTTTGGCTAGGAGACAGGTGCATTTTATTCATTCACCCGAGACTTCTTTCCTTGGTTGCTAAACAGATGGGTGTGAGGATAAATCCAAGCAATACCTCGTCACATGGCAGACACCAAGATGCCCGCCTCTTTTCCTTTGAGCCACGGTCTCTCCATCCGTAGTAAAATCTTCTCTAGCAAGTTCCTACAAGGATTAGGGAAGAGTAGCAAACGTGAAAGCTTGTTGGAAGCTGTAAAGTGCCACGTGGTTGGTCATTATTATGAACAGGTAATCATTGCTTTGTTTTGTGTAAATATTAGCATTACTTATTTGAGAATATTTTGATATTGTCCCTGGTGTGCACTTTATGTGTTAAGTGGTTCTGAGAAGTTCACCCACTTGCTTTCCATACCTCTGGCCGGTGCGTGCAGTAAAGTCTCCTGTCATCATCAGACAGGTGAGTCTTCCTGAACTTGAGTTTGATTCGCAGACAGTGCTTAGGAATTGGAGTTTCTTTGGAATGCTTTGGAAGACACAGAGTTCCTTTGAAACCTTGATGTCTAATACAGTGAGGATTAGCACACGTACCTAAAACTCAAGACAGAGTGTTCTCCATATCATACATGATGTGAACAACATTTTCAGGAGGGAGATTCTAGGGGCACTGGGGAGTTCTTGGAGGAGGAAGAGGTTTCTGTCCATATCTTCTCTGTTCTTCTCTTCCTCCCTGATTTCAGGAGAGGAGGATTACGGAAGGCTTCATAGAGGTGAGTAGGTGAGGAATTTAGCAGCCACTGATTTCCAGCCACGGAGCACTGCACGACAAGATCGTAGGGTGTGTAAGGGATTAGTAAGGTTCTTCTGAGATGCCAGCCCAGTTCACTCGACAGGAGTCCTTCTGTGATTTCAATCTTTGGACATCGCAATGCGTTTGGGGCCAGGCCATTACTTTCTTTGGGCTGGACTGGCCCCTGAGGATCCTGCGGGTGTAGAACGGCACTGGAACTCACGGGCTCTTACTGGGATTTGTTTTGCAGACGGCAACAGCCTGCACTCCGCCTGCGCCCACGAGAACGCCGTGCACAGCCGGATCTTTCAGATCTTATACAGGAATGAAGAGGTGCCCATCAATGACGCCGTCATCTTCCGAGCTCATCTGCTCTTAGACGGAGAAAGGGTAAGTGGTGGAATCTGCCGCCAGCCACGAGGTGCTGTCCCCTCCTCCCGCCTTTTGTCGCCATTCCCAGGTGATGGTAAGTGACGGGCAAGCTGTGGATTTGCCCTAAAGTCTGACAGGGATTCATGGCTTTAGAGAACTCATGCGTGTATTTGTGCTTTCCGGTACTCATTCTTTCACTCATGTACGTTCTCCATCCATGTCCCACACAGTTTCCATTAACCGACTTACTCAGGCTTTGATTCCTTCTTCCCTGGCCTGTTTGTTCATCTGTTTGGGCAGGCATTCTGTCACGGAGTCGATCAGCAGGCACCGACTGTCTGCTCCGTGCAGGGCTCTGGGCAGGGCCCTTGGATGAGGGACAGAGCTGGAGAAAGTGGCAGGAACTCTGCCCTCGAGGGCTTGGTAATCGAGTAGGAGAACAGGTATAGAAGCCAGCACCCTGGCAGGTGACGTGCACTCTGCTGGCTGTAGGCACAAATAAACGAAGGCGCCCCGAGGCTGGAGAGATGAGCTCTGTGGGAGGCATCGATGCTTCCACCAAGGGGCTGGCTTTGAGATGCACCAACTGAGAGTCCCTCAGACTAGGACAAATAGAAAGGGCACTCCATGCAGGGGCAACAGCATGAGGTGAAGCCCACTGACCTTGGGGGGTCTCATTCCGTTTGTTGGAAGCTTGATTGTAAAATCTCTATTCCGGGACACCTGGGCAGCTCAGTCGGTTAAGCATCTGACTTCGGCTCGGGTCATGATCTTGTGATCTCACGAGTTGGAGCCCCACGTCAGGCTCTGTGCTGACAGCTCAGAGCCTGGAGCCTGTTTTGGATTCTCTGTCTCCCTCTCTCTCTGCCCCTCCCCTGCTCATGCTCTGTCTCTCTCTGTCTCTCTCTCTCTCAAAAATAAATAAACCTTAAAAAAAAAAAGAAAACTGTCTATTCCTCAGGTTAGCATGTTTCGAGGGAATATTCGGAGTCTAAGGCATTACGCGCACTTCCCCAGTCCCGCCTCTGATTCCCATTGTCGCACTCCAGCTGCTCGTTTCCTGCTGGAATGCCTTTAACGATATGGAAGTATATTCCCATTTTAGGAAGGTCCTTTGGCAGCAGGTCCCCCCACTCACATTCCCCACATGGTGTGCAGAGCGCCTCCTGCTGGCCAGGTGCTCTCTTCCTCCTGTCAGGCCCTCCTTTCCGTCCAAGTCCTTATGGTCCACGCAGTGACCAGGTTCCACCGTGTGGCTACAGGTGAAAAACTGTGGCTCATGTTTCCTTCCTCCATCCATCCATGCAAGATTTACTGAGTACCACCGATGAGCACCTACGAGGGGCTAACGATAAAATAGTGACCGAGAAAATACCCCGGGTGTCTCAGGACTTATATTTTACTGGCAGATCAATACATTTCAGTGTAGTCAAATAAATAAGTCACGGACATCCTATCCCTGAGCTTCCCGTGGCGACATGCTCAGCCCACTTGTGGTGAGATGTACTTGCAAGGGCAGGAAGGGGGGGCCTGGAACCCTGTTGGGGGTCCTGCGAAGCCATCACTGGTCCCAAAGTGGAGGAGGTCCAACTCCGGGAGACGACTTCTCTTCACGGTTGCCCAGCGCTCAGCTCCTGCACAGCCTCCACACGGGGTGGAGGTTATTCCCTGAGGACAAGGGATAGTCAGGAGAGGCCTCCCTGAAAAGCCTACATTGAGCTGGGGTCCACGTGCCCAGGAACGCCAGGAGCTCGGGAAGACAGCATCCCTGGAGGAGGGCACAGCAAGGGCAAAGGCCCTGAGGTAGCGTGTGTCCCAGCTAACGCCATAAGGCCGAGATGTCTTGCACAGTGAGTGGAGGGAAGGGGCAGGAGGTGAAGTTAGAGAGGTGGTGGGGGAGGGCGGCCTTAGCGCTGCGGGCGACGGGAGGGAAGGGGGAGGTTATGCTTGGGTGACGGCGAGCCATTGATTTCGTCAGAAGGGCGCGGTGTTTGTCTTAGATTTTGTCCCCCGACTTCCCATCTGTGAGCTTCTCCGGGGCCAGAGTCTCCCATCTGTCTTTGCAACACCAGTGTCTGCCGTGGGACTCTGTCCGAGTTGCCCAGCAGATGCGAGCAGGTGACTTGGTTGGTGTAGTGAACAAACTGAACTTGAAATTCCTCCTTTTAGGAGGGGCCCCCTTCCTTACAAACAGGAATGAGTATCCCTAGTGTTGCCTGTTAGCCTTCAGTGACCCCGGTCACCTTCTTCCTTATGCCCTCACAGTGCCCACGAACACTTTATCTGTCATTGAAATCAGAAAGACCAAAACCACCCTCCTTGAGCTGGGCGTGTCGTTTGACTACTGGAGCGTCTGCCCTCTGCCCTCCCCACCTGCTCTGGACCCTGGGGCTGACCGCATGCACCACTCAGCCGCATCCTCCTCTTTTGGGTTCTGTTTGGGTCCAGCCTGGCAGTGATTGGAGGAAGGGAGGGGAGTGGGGCCAGAGAGTACATTCCCCAGGCTCCCATTGGGCCAGAGAGAGCTGCTTGTCCACTGGCGTGCTGGGGCTAGCTGTTATTCTGGAGCTAGCTCGTGTGCTGGGGCTAGCTTGAGTGACCCAAAGGTACACATGCTTTGCCAGCTCCCCATTCACCCACTCAGTGATGTCACATTGGTGGCCAGCAATCAGTTGTGGTGGAAAGATTTATACCAGAGAACTCGGCAATGCTGCCCATCAGGGTTTTTAGTTTTCCTTCTGAGAACTGGTTGTGAAACATTTACCCAAGGTCTCAGCTCAGGTCAGGGGGCTCGCTCCATGGAGCTTTCCCTCCAGTTCTGATAACTCGCTCGGCCCACCTCTCCTGGGCCAGGGCATCAAGGACATCCTGCAGTGACCAGTCCTGACACACTGGCCATCATCCGTGGCTTTCCATAAACCTTCCCTGCACCCTTGTGAGTCATCACTTTGCTGAACGGCATGGATTCCTCATTTTGAGTATATCATCAGCTTCCTTCCTGGACCCAGTTTCGGAAGAGACCCCTGAGATTGTTTTGAGTTTTAAGGAACCCCAAACCAGGCTGCGTGTTCACGCTTGGCTCGTCCCGGTTCTGGCGGGCGAACATTACTGTATCTCTTGTCGACCATCATCCTTTGCTGTGTTGACCTCAAAGGCCTTCTGGGCAGAAGTTGCGTTGGGAGGCTGGGTTCGGACAATGTTCAGGTGTCTCAGTCATCTTCCATCTGAATTCCACCACTCGCTCCCACCCCAGCATTTGTAGGCTTTCCCAACACCCAAGTTTACCTCAGGTCAGGTTGTAACAAACCTCTGTTCTGAGGTTGAACAGGGAGTCTGTGTGGCTTCCTTTTTATACCAAATCATTCATTGCTACAAGCTAATAATTTGTGTTGGAGTAATCCATACGGCAGCAAAGAATGCTACAGTTAATCATTATATCCAGATCAGTGACAATTAAAATTAATTGGGTATGTCCATAAACGTTTCATATCAAGAATGGTTCCATTAGCTCTTTTCCAGTGAGTGTCTGTCTGCTTTGGACGACAAAAACACTGCTTATTGCCAGGTGTCCAGAGTTCATGTTCCGGCATGCGCACAGCCATCATTGTGAACAACAGATACTTATATGGTGGCCATGCATCAAGCATACCATTGCTCATGCTATGAGAAATGCAGATGTGAAGATGCCTTCCACCCTGGGAGGGCACAGGTCAGTGCAAGAGATGGCCGTGGACAGAAGCAGTCACTGCTTAAGGCATAAGATGGGATGTTTGCATGACGGTTGCAAAGAGTGAGTGTCCAAGTAGGGTAGCTGTTTAATTTATATACACCGTGTAATCCCTCAGAGGATTTGGAAAGGCTGACAAAATGCATAGAACAGTAAAAGGGAAAAACAACAATAACAACAGACTGAGCCAGAGTCAAGGAAAATCACAAAAAGGGGGCAGGGAAGCCTGGAAGCCTAAATGTAAATAGGGCTAAATGTAACAGACCGAAATGCATGAACATGGCACTAGGCGTTGCTAATGGAAGCTCGCACATTCAGCACCAAGTTTCCCAGCAGCCAAAGCAAAAAGGATAGTTACTAACCACAAGATGCTTGGTGCCCTGAGGAGGATGAGGGGCAGATTACATCAAAAAGTCTTTGTCAACAAGGCTGCGTGTTTATAGGCTTAAAAAAGAAAAGCATTTCTCAAAGCGTGATTCCTTGTTGTACCCACATCACGGTCTCCTGGCGTTACTTGTTCAAAATGCAGATTCTTGAGCCCATCACAGACCTAGTGAGTCAGGCAGAGGGTTTTCTTTTGAGGGGGCAGGGAGTTGATTAAAAGCGTTGAATTGTTACGGAATGGGTGGAATGAATTTCTGCAGGAGGCTGTGAACAGCACTTGAGACCAAGGGTAGAGAGGGCAGGGGAAAAGCAGTGAAGTAGACCTCCCATCTGGGGAAGAAAGCATCATTTCCAGAAGGATGGTGCAGGGGCGAGAGTGGACGGGAGAGTTGAAGACACAGCAGTTAGCACCATGAAGGCCCTGCCGGACACCGTATGTTTACCTGTTGTGAAAGCGGGGGCCGCCCTCAGGAATCAGGAGGAGAGTTGGGATTTGGAAAGGTCCCTCTGGCAAAAGTACGGAAAGTAGGGCCCAAAGCCCCAGGACATGGAGGCAGTGCTAGGGTCCACGCGGGTGTTGGGGAGCACCACAGCAGAGGCAGCAACGGTGAGGATGTGTGGAAAGAGGGAGCTGTGTTTCAGCCGAGGGCCTGTGGACCTGGGCTCAAGTGTGGGGGGTGCAGCACATCGCATAGTCAAGAAAGTTCAGTGGGAGTTGACCGTAAGGTTTGGCCACAAAATGGGCTTGGGGTCCATTGACGGTCCAGGGTAGCTGGGAGAAGATCACTTTTGGGAAGTGATAGAAATGCAGGCTGAGTTATAGTAACAACCACAGGATCTTAACACTAATACCACCTTATATGTATTCAACGTGTGTTGTGTGGTGGGCGTTGCACTGAGTGCTTTGCTTGGAATGTCTCAGCAGCCCATCACTACGGTATTGTGGTATGTTTTGCAACACTTGCTTTATGGAGGAGGACACAGCGATGTAGAGAAGTGATTTGTCCAAAGTCACCTACCAAAGTGGTAGAGTGGAGATTTGAACCCCGGCAGTTTGACCACAAAAGCCTGGGTTTCTGACCAGTATGTGGACCCACCATGTGGAGTTGGTATAGGAAGGGTCCTCTGGTGGCCAGGTCCATAGGAATTTGGAAATAACAATAATAACTAATATTTGTAAGAGTGGTCTTTGGAGATGCCCAAGTGGCTCAGTTGGTTGGTTTCGGCTCAAGTCATGGTCTCATGGTTCGTGGGATTGAGTCAGTTGCACTACAACATGGAGCTTGCTTGGGATTCTCTCTCTTCCTCTCTCTGCCCCCCCCCCCCCCCCCCCCACACACACATGCACTGTCTCTCTCTCTCCCTCTCTCTCACTCAAAAAATAATAATAAAAAAGAATGGTCTTGGCTCACATGTTGTGTTAAGCCCTTTGGGTGTATTTTCTTAGTCACACAATAGCAGTGCTCTCTAAGGAGGAAGTAATATTTAACCTCATCTACAGCTGAGAAAACCAGTTTAGAGGGGCTGATTGGTGCAGGCTACAGCCAAGAATTGCACACATGTAGCTCGATGTCCGAAGCTGCCTCCTCCCCCACTGGCTGTGATGCAGCTCAGGAGAGAAGCTAAGAATGGAGAAGAGTCAGCATCATGAGCGGAGTCGAAAGCAACCAGGGAGGGAAGGCATACCCACAACACAGAGGGGATCACACAACAAGGCCAAAGAAGCTTTGGACCCTTGACTGGATCTGGGCTGTGGGACTCACCCGCCAGCTGACCTTGGGGAAGTTGAACTGGGAATTCCCTCCTACATGGAGCCTCAATGTTCTCATTTGTGAATGAGGGACAATAGTTTTGAATTCTCCGTTTTATCCACATTGGAGAAGACAGAATGGGCAGTCAGCTGCTGCATAGGAACTCTTCTGCGGATACTAGGCTACTGGTTTTATGTTCAGTGCTGCACCATGCTGCTTCCTGCTGCTCAACAATGATTCTCTCTTTTCTTTCATGTTTATTTATTTTTTAGAGAGAGAGAGAGAGAGAGAGAGAGCAGGGGTGGGGCAGAGAGAGAGGGAGACACAGAATCCGAAGCAGGCTCCAGGCTCTGAGCTGTCAGCACCGAGCCCAGCGAGGGGCTGGAACTCATGAGCCCTGAGATCATGACCTGAGCCAAAGCCTGAGCCACCCAGGCGCCCCTAAACAATGACTCTTAAAGGGAGGTGATGTCTTAAACCAAGTGATATGCATCAGTGGCTGGGCGTGCACGTGTGCACATACAGACGTGCACAGGTGTGTGCACCTTTCCACACGTACCCATGTACGAGGGTGTGTATTTTGAGGGAGGGGAAGGCAGCCAACTGCCAATGATTAATTGAATGGTTAGAGAAGCCAGTGACTTTATCCTGGAGCATCTTGGAATTCAAGATTTATTGAGACATCAGTAAACCCATAGCCAGGCTCAACCCTGGCCCGGGATTCCGCTCCTAGTTCCAAAGGAATTGCAGCAAGTTTAAAACTGGGGCTTACAGTGAGTTTTTCTCGCCAGCACGCTCGGGAGGAGGTTAGGCGGGTTTCCTTTGCCAGTCCCACTTCCGAGGAACGGGCGGCAGGAGGCTCAGCTGCCTGGGTTGTGTGTACGAAGCAAGGTTTGTGATTATGCAAAACAAAGCTAGCAGAGGAAGTTATTCATAGCACTTGGATCCAGCAAAATGTTAACTTTTAAATGCTTTTTTTTTTTCCAACACATTTTAAAACCCTGGGGACCTAAAGATAAATTCCATCCATATGTCTGTGCCTGAGTTCTGCTTAACCAGGAACGTGTTTCCAAAGATGCCTTTGGGTAAGAGATTTCCATCCCTGAAGGATGAGGACATTTTGCAAAGAAACAAAAACCAACAGGAGAGGGGGTGGAGAAGAGCTTTATTTATTCCTCAGGACACATGAATACTTTCTATGTGGCAGGCTCTATTCCTAGAGCTGGGGATCCAGAATGAATTGAGACTACTCTCTCCCTTAATGATGACTGATTGCTGTGGACACTGTGGTG